TATTAATAGACCCCACCAATGCTGGGGGCTATTACTGCGACAGAGCAACATTAAAATGTTTTTCAAAGATCTGCTAACCCCCGGGGTAGGCATCCTCGGCACTCCAGCTGTGGGGGAACTACAAGTCCCATGAGGCATTACAAGACAAGACTCTAGCAGCCACAGGCATGACTCAGATGCATCAGGGGATTTGTAGTGTCCCCACAACTGGAGGGCCACAGTTTGCCCACCCCTGCTTGGGGGGTTGTGGTGGCCGGCTTTGGTCTTCTGTCAGACAGTACGAGATACTTCTGATTATTCAAAATTCATTGACAGGTATACATGACCTGCAGGTGATCCCCCCCCCCCCTTACCCTCTGCTGCCAGGCCCAGCTGTGAGGTATGAGGCATGGGTGTGCAGGACAGGTGACCCCCTTCCCCTCTACTCCTGTCCTGCACACACACAGGTAAGGGGGTGCGGTATGAGGCACGGTAGGCACGCATAGGTAAGGGGGTGAGGAAAGAGGCACGCATAGGTAAGGGGGTGAGGAAAGAGGCACAGAGTATACACATAGGTAGGGGGCGAGTTATGAGGCACAGAGTATACACATAGGTAGGGGGCGAGTTATGAGGCACAGAGTATACACATAGGTAGGGGGAGAGTTATGAGGCACAGAGTATACACATAGGTAGGGGGCGAGTTATGTTATACACGTGGGTTGGGGGCGAGTTACGAGGCACAGCGTATACACATAGGTAGGGGGAGAGTAATGAGGCACAGAGTATACACATAGGTAGGGGGTGAGGTATGAGGCACAGAGTATACACAGGCGTGAAATGAGGCACGGCATACACTCCGGCAGGGACCGCGGCCCAGTCCGCCCCTTTCTCCATCTCTCACCTTGGGAGGACAGCTGGCGGACGCTGGTGACGAACTGCTCCAGAGCGGAGGCCATGCCGGTTGTGTCCGCCCCCCTCCGCGGTGGGGCCGGTGCCGGGGAGAGAGAGAAGCGCGGGCCGAACTCAAGCTTCACTCAGCGAGCTCAAATCTCGCGAGACATCCCCGGCCGGGCACGAGATGACATTCCGCCTCTTCTCGCGAGATCCGGTGCGCTTCTTCCTCTTCCTCGCTGGAGACGTCAGTGGGCGGGGCGCGAGCTGACACCTCGTTGAATCTCTGCAGTGGGCGGGACCGACAGAAGGCGCCCACAGCGACCAATCAGGTTGCACCGGAAGCATCGACTGCTGCAATAATTTAAAGGAACATGCGCTGTGACAACAAAGTAATAAAATGATCTAGGATGACAGTAAGCCAGCACGTTCTTTATCTCAGGTGCCCCACTCAAGCGGCGGCCATATTGAGTGGGGCACCGGAGATAAAGAACGTGCTGGCTTACTGTCATCCTAGATCATTTTATTACTTTATTGCTGTGGTCTATGTGTATAGGGCAATGCCGTGGATGGCGCTCGTGCACAACATGTTTTGTGTGCAAACATCGTAGTTCTGAGGAAACCGGAAGTAATGCGGTCCCACAACTCGATAAGTTCGCACTTTCGATACATCACCGGTGGCGGAAATGCCATTTGACTTCCTGAGTTCTAATCTCGAAATCCGGTGTTTTTCCCGGTCAGTGATTTAGGAATGAAGCCCGAGTCAGCCAGGCAAATAGCATTTTTAGTAGGAGGCCGGTGATGGCAGCAGCTGTATATCCAAGTTGTGGTTCATAATTCCTTATGCACATAAATCTTTATTTAAATGTTGCATTTACAGTAACAAAAAATATCTAGTTCAGTTATAAAATTGACACCCCTCAGCCAAAACTTACTCATTTTAGATGGAGTGGGGGAGGTTTAGATCCTCGTGTTCCTAGCAGCTGTCTGTGTCCCCGCTAGGAAAATGTCCTCTTACTTCCTGTCCTACGGTCACCAAGGCAGAAAGTGAGGCAAATGTTAACTTTGCCAAAGGTGACAACAGATATATTTCCTCTGTTCTCACTTCCTGTTGTGTCTCTGGAAGGGGAAATTACCCTCCCCCACTCCATTGGAGATGCCTGCATCCTAGCAATGAAAGACTCGAGGCAAAAGGAGTTACCTGGCATGCTTTGTTGCTAGGATGCAGGCAGCTCTGCCACCAAGCATCCTCCGTTGCTATGATACAATTGGCTCTAGTTGCCATGGGTCCTTTGTTGCTAGGATGCAGTCAGCTCCTGAAGCCTAGTGCCATTCATTGCTAGGATGCAGTCGACTGCAGCAGCCTAGCATCCTCCGTTGTTAGGACACAGGTGGCTTGGGCTGCCTAGGGTCCTCAGTTGCTAGGATGCAGTCCACTCCTGTGGCCTAGTGTCCTTCATTGCTAGGGCACAAGCGGCTCCTTGCTGCCCAGCAAGTAGCTCTATTCACCTAGGGTCCTTCATGGCTGAGATGCTGTCAGCTCCTGTGGACCACAGTCCTTCGTTGCTAGGATACAGTCGGCTCCTGTGGGCCACAGTTCTTCGTTGCTAGGTACAGTGTCCTTTGTTACTGGCATATAGTCCGCTCCTGCAGCCTAGTGTCATTTGTTGCTAGGATACAGTGGGTTCCTGCGGCCTAGTGTTTTTTGTTGACAGGATGCAGTCAGCTCCTGCAACCTAGTGTCCTTTGTTGCTAAGATATAGTCGGCTCCTGTGGTATAGTGTCCTTCATTGCTGGGATACAGTTGGCTCCTGAGGCCTAGTGCCCGTTGTTGCTAGGATACAATTGGCTCCTGCGGTATAGTGTCCTTTGTTGCTAGGATACAGTTGGCTCCTGAGGCCTAGTGCCCGTTGTTGCTAGGGTACAGTTGGCTCATACGGTATACTGTCCTTTATTTCTAGGATGTAGTCAGCTCCTGCGGCCTAGTTTCCTTTGTTGCTAGGATACAGTCAGTTTGTGCAGCCTAGTTTCCTTTGTTGCTAGGATACAGTTGGCTTGTGCGGCCTAGTATCTTTTGTTGCTAGGATATAGTCGGCCTAGTGTCCTGGTAGAGGAGAAAAGTTCAAAACCGTATTATTGTACTGACGGAGTAGTTGAAGCTCGGAGCAGACTTCTAGCGGAGGTAGCGAGTAAGTGAATTTGAACATTCTCGGGGATAAACATAAATCTGTACTCAGACAAAAGGTTAAACAAAAAGATGAAAAACAGCAACAAAATTAAAAAAACGACATGCTCGAAGGACCACATGGGCTTTTTCTGATATCACATATCTATGTTTCTTTGCGGATAGCAGGAGAGAGCAGAGCGACAAGCTCATCAGTCTTCTGCTTCTTCTGCTTCTCCTCTCACTGTCCAGTCACAGGGTGGGGGAGTGACCAGACTTGCAAGTGTTACTTAACTGCAGCAGAAAGAAATCAGGTCTCCTGCCCTGCCAGACAGGGCTGTGCTGTGACCGCAGACCCCCCACAACCACCAGGCCAGGGTTATGGGGAACAGAAATTCGAATTCGGACGCCTTGGTATCCGGAAATTCGGATGTTTTGTACCGCGCGCCCCCCTGAAATAGTCCAAGCGTGATAATCCGGCGGATTCCGCATGTTCGCGGCTATTTATTAGCCACAAACGCGTGGCATCCCTGCGTATTTAAAAATATTAGAGTTTTCGTCTCGTACGGTCTTCCACGCGCAAAAACCGTGCGCGAACCGCAGAAGCTATGTTTGAATGCAGCCGCATGGATCCGCCGACATGAACGATCCCATACATTACTATGGGGACCGTCCATGCGACCGCGGATCTGATCCGCCTCCCTCACCGCATTACGCCCTGACCCTTTTTTTTGCCGCGCTGATCAGCGTGGTTTCCATACAGCTGTCATTGGACCCGCGCTGTTCAGCGTGGTTTTGGCCGTCTTTAATAGCATTTCAGCTCTGAAACGCAATTATAAACACTCGCAGCCGCCCTTTTAAAATCAGTGCGGAAACCGCGCTGATCCGCAACCGCCCTGGTGTGAATGGGGCCTGATACCAAGTGGTAATATAGCTGCCCGGAGTTCCGGGGAATATTTGTTACATTGTATACAATCATCGCCCCCATAAAGTAGAAACACGACTTTTTGGTTTCAACGGCTTCTCTCTCCCCAAGCTCCTCCCCCTTCATGTTTTTATCTGTAGCATTGCTGCCGTCGTGTCATGCAAAGGCATTGTCCAAGGCATGTTCTAACCTATTCCAAATCCCCCCCGCGCCCCACCCCTTGTGTCAGCTGACCCTGTGCCAGAGCGTTGAAGGAGTTAATCTTTTACCATCCCACCTCCAGGGCGAGTTGCTACGCAGCCCAGCGACACAAGTGGAAGGGGCATGTCCCTTTAAGAAGAGGAGGCCACTTGTCCTTACAAGGTAACGGGGGCAGCAGTACAGTCTGCCGCAACGACAGGGCACGCTGCTGCAGCATCTTCTAGAGCTGCACAGCTCCCTGGAACTGACAGCTGTGCTCAGCCTGTGACAGTCCAGGACCATCTGGAACATGCAGCCCGCAGTCAGCAAGGATGACTGATTTGTGCTTCTTTTTTAGGCACTTTTGCACGGAACGCATCGCTGCAAGCAAGAGGATGAATGGTGGCCTTGCATG